GAGCCAAGATGCCAATATGGTTTCATTGCACTCCAGCCTGGGTGACAAACCCAGACTCCATCTCACACACACACACACAAACGAAAAACTAAACATGGCAGTGTGATAAGTTTTGATAAAAGAATACAGCTTTACAACCACCACCACATTTATGATTTGGTTATTGCTTTCACTCTAGAGAGATCCCTTTGTCCTTTTGAAATCAATCTCCCATCTCTGCTCCCAGGCGATTGCTGATCTGCTTTCTATATTCTAGATTGGTTTACATTTTCTAGAATTCTTAAGAATGTATTTTGCTTACTGTAGAGGATATGTTTTTCGAAAATTGATGGTAAAGTGAATTTTGGTAAAACGAACCTTATGTTTTATTATCTTAAAATTTCTAAGATGCTTGAATAAAGTTCAGTTGATATTATCCCTAACATTTTTGGTTTTGAGTTTTCTGCCTTGTCCACTCTCTGTAATACTTTAAATCTGGATTACATGTAATAATATGTAAAACCAACTGATGGCACATTATATTGTAAAGCAAGGTATCGTTTTGTAGTTACCTGCCTCCTTGTTTATTTTTAATGTTGATAAACAATTTGAAGAATAAAAGTGTACAGATCCTATTGTATTCATAGACTTTAATTCAGTCCTTTTTTCTTAAAATTGTCACTCAGTAGACAGTGTAACCTCAATCTGTAAAAGGCCATTTGCCTTGTGCTTATGCCCTCCTGCTCAGACCTCTGAGGATGGGAGAGTGAGGGTGGATAAATAGCTATTTACTATTCTGTTCTCTGTGACTCCTCTTACACATATATGCATGGTGTATTTGGAAAGCGTGCTGAAAAGTAGCAGTTGATCTCATAGATAAAACAGCCCCACTAGGATGGGATAGGAGAATCCTTTTATGATTTTTAAAACCAAATGTACTGCTTGTTCATACCTTTATACAGAAAATAATCTTTTGCATACAAAAATGAGTGTTTTCTGGTTTTGCCCAGAAAAGTTCTGTGTCTAGAATTTGTGCTGCATCATTTATTAATCATTTTGAAACTAGATCTACATAAAAACCAAACATTATGAAAGTCATATTTGCCTCACTAAACATTTAAATTTCGACTTCATTTGGAAATCCTACACTCATATAACGAGAAATAATCCTAATCCAAATTTATCTATAGTCAAACTGTGGATAAGTAATGTTCTATAAACTGAATTCTTAAGTAAATGTCATTTGGGGGTGATAAACATGGATCTGTTAAGAAATCCTGAAGGTCTGCATTTGAACACTGCCTCACTGAAGGCTTCAGACAAAGGACAAAATGTTTCAGTAGTCAGTTTGAGAGACAATATATGTGAGATGAGACTGAAGAACAAACAGAGCGACCAACCTGAGATCTTACATTTTATATGACTATCCCTCTCAAAACTAGTCAGTCAATACTCTGTTTCATTTTTTTTTTTTTTAAGTTAATAAAAAGACTTTACTCCGACTGTTTTTGGAATTTCCTCATTTTAGGGGTTTGTCTTCTGAAGCACAGACAAATCCCATTCAGCCTACACTGAATGGTGGGTTAGACACTGCCCTGTCTTCAGCAGGGTAAATCAGATGCAAGAACAGATGTGAACAGTTACCTGTGATAGAAAGCAGGTTGTGCAGCTGTGCTGATAGTGGCATGTATAAACTGCATTGGGAGGGAGGAGTTAATTCTGGCTTGGCCATCGTTAGGTGACACTATTTAAATAATGCCGTGAGTGATGAATTGCATTACAATTTTAATTTATTTTCTTTGTGTTTCTGAAGTTGCGTTTACTTTAGAAAATTCAGCAAACCAGAGAAGCACAGAGAGAAAAACAATTCTAAAATTACCATTCATATTTTCATGTATATTTCATTGTTTTGTTGTTTAGCTGTTTTTTGATCTGTCATTTTTTTTATTTTATAATATGAACATTTCTCCATGTCCACTAAATATTTTTCTGCAGCATCATTTAAAATGACTACATAGTCTTTTTAAATATCACAGATAAAATAATTTATTTAACTAGTCACCTATTGCTGACTGTTTAGATTGTTTCTGTGTTTTACTATTATGTAAAACACTGTCAAAAACATCCTCATGTATATGGCTGTTGCTTTTAAATTAAAACTTATTTTACCAAAGTAATACATTCACCTAGTTTAACATTTGAATAGTTGTTAAAGGCCTATTAGAAAATACAGTGGTGGCTGGGCTCAGTGGTGCACATCTGTAATCCTATCACTTTGGGAGGCCAAGGCAGGTGGATCACTTGAGGCCAAGAGTGTGAGACCAGCCTGGGCAGTATGGTGAAGCCCCATCTCTACCAAGAAACAAAAAAACCCCCAAAAGTTAGTCAGGTGTGGTGGCGTGTGCCTGTAGTCCCAGCTACTTGGGGTGGGGGCTGAAGTGGGAGAATCTCTTGAGCCCGGGAAGTCAAGGCTGCAGTGAACTGAAATTGTGCCACTGCACTCCAGCCTGGGATATGGAAATGAGATCCTGTCAAAAAAACAAAAACAAAAACAAACAACAAAAAAAGAAAATACAGTGGTCATTTCTCTAGAGGCAGCCTTTTATCTGTTTCCTCTAGTCATTATATATCTCCACTTTGCTAAATTACATATATATACATTGCTGTCTTTTTAGTTAATTTATTTAAGACATTGTTGACTTTATATTATGATCTTTGAAGATTTTTCACTATTACACAGCCATCTCTTACCCTCACAATCCCAGTATAGTTAGATGCCAATTTTTGGCTTAATTTTGCATTATTATATTATGTAGCTATTATTCATAGATGAGCATATGGTAATTAATTCTGATGAAAAGTTTGCTTCTGACTTTTTGTATTTTATGAAGTTAATAATGCCTTGTTTTTTCATTTGCTTAGCTTTTTGTCCTTCTTAATAATTCTTCCTATACCTTCTATAAACTACTTAAACAGTTTTCCATAAAGGGAATTACATCAGATAATACATTTCAATTATTTTCTTGAAGACATGCTTCCAGCAGACTTCCATTCTCCTCCCATCACATTCTCCAGACCTGCCTCTTCTGGGATTTTTCCTTGCTCTTAACCTAGGAACTCCCTGTGCTTTTTCTTAAATCTCATAGTGTTTTCCTTCTTGTCTTACCTTACATTTTTGTGTTGTATTTCCTGTAGTATTCCTGAGAAAGGTTTTGTGAGAGAAAAATATCTTTATTCGGTTTCCTCACTTGATTTATAATTTGCTTGAATAATTAAATTCTAAGTTGGAAATAACTCTCCTATAGGTTTTTGGAAGGAAATGCTTATGTTCTGTTGTCTTCCATCTTGCTCTTGCAAAGTCCAAGCCTTTTTGATTCCTTTAACTGTATAAGAAAACTGAGTAGAAGAATGTCTGGGTATAAGGATGTCATATTTTAAAAACTGTAAAGATGGGGAGGATGAAGAGGAGATTCAAGACAGAGGGACTCAAAAAGCCAGGTGACAGCAAGTTGTCCACTATAGTAAGAGAATGAAGGCATCTAAGTCTGTGTGAAGAGAGTGTGGGATATAGTTGGAACACAGTAAATTGAGGCTTTGTATTGGAGACCCATAACGTGGAGCTTTAAATTTATTTTCTAGGCATTATTTCACCTAGCTGTCACCAGCTATGTGAAACTTTCTTTGGCTTATGGCAGGCAAAATGAATTGGCTTCTGATTTATCCTCCTTTAGTATTAATACTTTCCATGTGCCCATGTGCATGTGTACTCATATATGAACACACACATTTTTACGTATCTATATGCCTGTCTCCCCCATTAGACTAGATCTTTGGGGTTGGAGGAAGTGACATAATTAGGTCTGTGTTAAGGGAAGCACAGTAGATCAGTTCTTAACATTCCTGGTGATTGAGATGCCATTGAAAACTGCAGAATGGATACCAGGAAGAAGGGATTAAAAGGAGAGAGAACAGAAGGTTATTTCAATGCCTGGATTTGAAGAAATGAGCATATGATGAACTAATCTACTGGGAGAGGGAGGGATACTACTTCAAATAATTATATTCCAATTATTCTCGTGAGTCTAATTATTTTAAATTTTGGAAATGCTGTGTCATTTTTATATATTGATTACACATCTTGCTTTAAAATTTTTCTCCTTTTGGTTCATTCCAGAAAAGTCTGAAACAATTTTAACTCTTGCTTTATTGATTTTTTAAAAAGATGAATGATGTTTGGTTTACACAGTTGATGATTAACAGTAATGATGATTTGAAATGCCATCTTAATTCTATTTTGTTAAAGAAAAACACAAATAGAGAATTGTAGATGAAAATAATTGGTATAAATCTTATATTATCATATCCTAGCATTTTCTTATTCTGAGTAGATTCATTGCCTGAAAATGTTAACTTTGATTTTACCAGAGTCTTTCTTAAGTAGATAAAATTTGAAATAATATGATACTTTTCATTATTGTTTGAAAACAATGAACTTTTCCACAAATTTTCAACCTTACAAATAGGGTCTTTTCACCAAGATGGATGATCACTCAGAAAAAGTGAATAATTAGTTAAAGGTTTTGTTGTATGTTTGTTACTGACTGATTTCTCAAAAGCCAGGCTATGTATTTATACTTAAAAAGATGCACCATATAACATATCACATATTTTAAAAATAGCATTCCACTGATGAGTCTTTACTTTCCAAGATGCTTTTAGACAGGCTTATGCTCCACTAATGGTAGGAGACTAATGTCTTTTGGAAATTTTCATGATGCTAATTACAATTTATTAAGCACTTACTCATGCCAAGCCCTGTGCCAAAGAGTGAAGGGACATCGTCTCATTTAATAATAATCCTATTGGGGTGGGTGTTGTTTATTATTAGATGAGAAAATTGAAGCATAAAGAGGTTACTTTCTTGTCTGAGATCATGCAGGTAGCAGGCAGTAAAGCAGGGAATGTTTATCTTTGGTGTGTGTGTCTCTTCGTTCTTAAGCTTGCTTCTTTCCATGTTATAGGAAAGATCCTAAGGAATATTAATCCTGCAAGTGGCATCACATGTGAATGGTATTTCTCACCTGCCCTATCATCAGATGACCATCTAATTTACTGGTAATTTCTCAGATTTTTTTTTTTTTTTATCCTTGTAAAACTGAATACCCTGCACTGTCTACTGTGCTTTCACAAATGAAAATGATGGTCCACTATAAGGTTACTATTTGGATTTTAAAAAAATTTCTTGTTTAATGAGAATAGCCAAATTTTCTTTGAAAAACTTTCTGTACTTATTAAGATAATATTAGTATCCTAGTTTAATGTGTGTGACTGATATAGTTTTACGTTACTTACTTTTTATATTATTCTTTCACAAACAATACAAAGCCTCCCCCAACTGTTGTTTCTCCTTAGTGCTAACTTTAAGAAGTCATACGTATTTCTTCCTGAACACCCAACAGTTTGGTATTCCGTCAGATGTTTTGCAGGGTTTTAGCAAGTCGTTACAGTGAATGTCTTCAAGAAGCAATACATTAGGCAGAGCACTGCAGAGATACCTGTAGAGATCAGCACACCTGCCCTCAAGCAAAAGACAGTAATTAGTTGCTCATCTTCCCTTGCAAACTTCCCCAATGTTGTTGTACATGAAACACATAGATCACAGCAGTGCTGTCATGAGCTCTGCACTATTGGAGTTGTTTATGCCCATTCAATTTTTAATGTTTCTATAAGACATTTTGATGGGAGCCCTGAGCCCAAAGGGATTTGCATGCTTGATCAAACTTGTGATGATTTAAATATAGAAATAAAGAGAAACCTTTGAATTACTTTGACTGTTAACTTTTAGGACCGTGTTAGTGGAAAACATTTACATGATACTTGAGGCAAAGATGTGTTTGATCAACCTTCACAACTTTTTTGTTTCTTGACAGCAGGTATAGCGCCAGTAAATCTAAACAAGTTCTTTAATGCTTATAGATCCAAGTGCATGTGAATATCTATATAGCATGGTCTGAATATTTTAAAAGATGAATTTGTACCAATCACTTTTATTGAAATTAAACCACTGTCAAGTACCAACCTTTTAGTCCTGCCACATTGTCATATATAGTTTCTATTATTAAAGAATGAGATGATAGGTGATTGAACTTTAGTAAAATACAGTAGTATATATGAATTGGATATGTTGGGGCCAGATAAATTATCACTTAAAGTACTTGGATGTCTTTTGATATCATTGTTTTAATTTTAACACTATATATGGTCTATATAGTGTTATGGGATAAAAGCTAGTATTTTACCAAGTGACCTTTCAAGTCATTTCTAGCAGCTGGGTTTCAGTTCTTTGATTGTATTAGTGAAGGTTATTAATAAACAGCTTCAATAGAGATTCATTACTGTTTCTTAAATTATATTGTTTGCAAAATGCTATCATTCCTAATATCATAGCAAATTCTCTTCACATTTATTCTGAGAAAAAAATAACCCTAGTGCCTTGTCATTCAAGCATAGTCTGGTGGCTACACATACATGCATCTTAAATTGGTTCTTGGAGATAAATGGGCATTATGGAGTTGTCAGATTATAGTAAAACTAAAGAAGAAGATGTTATACAGCATTGGACTGTCACTGACAGTTAGAAACCTTAGATGCTAATAAATGCAGTCATCCCATTGTGCCTTGCAGTTTTTCCTCAATATATAGGTAGAATCTTCCTGTGAGTTTCTGAGCATAGTTTCTGATTAGCTCTTCAACACAAAATGGAATGAATGATGTGAATATTTAAAAACTTACCTCTAGATTTTATTTTGCCTGCCTTTCTTAGCCGTATATAAGCCTCAGTGCGGATTAACTGGGGATACTCCATTTGTGAGGTAATGATTATGATGCTATGCTAGTATGCTAGCGTAGACAGAATACTCTTATTTATTATTTATTTATTTATTTATTTATTTATTTATTTATTTGTTTATTTATTTTTTGAGACAGAGTCTTGCTCTGTCGCCCAGGCTAAAGTGCAGTGGCCGGATCTCAGCTCACTGCAAGCTCCGCCTCCCGGGTTCCCACCATTCTCCTGCCTCAGCCTCTTGAGTAGCTGGGACTACAGGTGCCTGCCACCTCGCCCGGCTAGTTTTTTGTATTTTTAGTAGAGACGGGGTTTCACCGTGTTAGCCAGCATGGTCTCAATCTCCTGACCTCGTGATCCGCCCGTCTTGGTCTCCCAAAGTGCTGGGATTACAGGCTTGAGCCACCGCGCCCGGCCTTATTTTATTTATTTATTTTTTAATTTAGATAAGAGTCTTGCTCTGTCGCCCAAGCTGGAGTGCGGTGGTGTGATTTCGGCTCACTGCAACATCTGCCTCCTGTGTTCAGGTAATTCTCATGTCTCAGCCTCCCAAAGTACTGGGACTGCAGCCACATGCCACCAAGCCCGGCTAATTTTTGTGTTTTTAATAGAGACAGGGTTTTGCCATCTTGGCCAGGCTGGTCTCGAACTTCTGACTTCAAGTGGTCCACCTGCCTTGGTCTCCCAAAGTTCTGGAATTACAGGCGTGAGCCACCGTGCCTGGCCTCTTACATTTTATATGCATAACATTTTGGCTAGCTTATGCTTCATTGACTTTCAGGAATTTCACAACAATCATTCCTAAGAATTGGTCTTGTCTATAGTGGCCTTTGGAATTCCTAATAACGTTATGTTAATGTTACATAAAACATTTGGCAGTCTGTTTCTTATGTAAAGCTGCTCCATGTACCCTGAGTCAGAAGCTTACTTATCTTTTTATCCTTGGTACCTAACTTAATGTGATCAGTCAGTGTTGGTTGGATTAGTGGACGATTGAAAATATTATGTAATGGATATGAATAGCCCATGGAAACGGTAAAGAGTGGATCACAGTTAACACTTTTAATAATAGAAATAGCTTTTTCTCCTGCTTGTTTTTTTTTTTTCCAGCATAACCCTTGGTTCATATTTTTTCTAGAATAAGTTCCTATGACTTGATTTTAACTTTACATCTTTACTATCAGTTCATCAAAAATATTCTGTGAAAAAACATTTTATATTTTTACTGTACTAAAGTTAAGCTCTTCTTATTCTGAGTCACAATCTGGACCCATTTAACTACTTTAGCTTTATTTTCTATTGTACTATATTCTCTAGCTGTTGTTTCTCCTCCTGTGCTGGAGAAACTTTTTACTCCTTGTTTCAGGGCAAGTCAAACTTCTACTTCCTGGCATCATGCCTTGGTCTCTGAGCTCCAGTCTCATGAACTTCTGAGTTATTTCTGTTTTCCACCCCCCAGTTAAGAATGAAATCATATGTGCCCCTATGTTTTGCAAAATGGATCTATCTCCAACTAGCTCATTACTTCATTGGTATGGTTCCTTTTTTTTTCTTTTTTGTATTTTAATTCTTTTCTTTCTGACATATGGTAGAATGCTAAGTACTTTGTAGTCACATAGTAAATACTATACACATTTACACACTAGGTAATATCTACTTTCATAGTAGCAAGATAAGCTTCCTCCTAAAGAAAGGAAGAAAGGAAGATGGACAGAAGAAAAGGAAGACAAAACAGAAGAAAAGAAAGGAAGGAAGAACAAAAAAGAAAGATCAGCAAGAATATTTTGAGGAATAGGGAAAGAGCAGTAATTCTGGAATTTTAAAAACTTGTGTTTAAATTCTGATTCTGCTTACTAGCTTTGTAATATTGGATGAGGTTCATAATCTTTTGGTGTAAAATGGTAATAATATCTATCTGACAAACTTGTTGTAAGGGTTAAATTATATAATGTATATAAAGTGCTTATTGGCATACCCTGGCACATATTTGATGTTGAAGCAATGGTAGCCAACTCTTTTATTTTGCATGTGAGGGAGGAATTTTAGAGAGCTGACCAAGGGTCATATAGCTAGTAAATTGTGGAGAGAGAATTGAACACCAGGCCATTCTTACTCTAAAGCAGTGTTTTTCAAACATTAGTGCATCTGAGAATTATCTGAAAGACTTGTTAAAACCCTGGGCCCCACTCCAGAGTTTCTGGTTCACTAGGTCTGGGGTGAGGCCTGAGAATTTGCATTTTAAACATGTTTCCTGTTGCTGTTGCTGCTGCTACTGGTCCAGGGACCACACTTCGAGAACCAGTGCTTTCTGGCATATTTCTCAACTCTAGTTGCACCTAAGAAATCACCCTGAGTAGTGTCTATAAATTATTGATGAAACCAGAATCTCTGGTTATGGGCCTAAGTGTGGATTTTTAGGTTTTTGTTTTAAGCTGTCCAGGGAATTCTAACGTGCAGCCAGGATAGGAAGCACCATTCTGCCTAAGTGAGGCTCTTTGCAGTTTTTTCTTAGAACTGGGTATTAAGTGAAGCAGCTGACCCTGCACCCTCCTGGATGCTCAGTGAGGCAAGGCCTCAGTACTGTGTTGTTTTTATGCTGTTATGTTTTAAAACAATTGCTTCGGCCTAGAATCCTTTTACTGTTTTAACCTGTTCTACTTGTTTTTGTGGACTGTTTGCATTTCTCCATCTTCACCCTCAGTGTATCCTGAATGCCTTCATCAATCTCTAGGGTGGATTTTATGTTAATATTTGGCAAAAGCAAGTAATTAGCAATAGTTGAAGTATAAAGTAAATAAAGGAATATATCTAATTTTTTAAAAAGCAATCACATTAACAATTTAGTGTACTTTCAGAGTTCTGATTATGAGTTTGTTCTTCTTTCTGAGATGCTTTGGAAACCTTACATTTTGTTTTAGGGGACCCAGTTATTGGTTAGAATAGGTAATGATAATTGTGCACCCAGAAGTGTATAAGTAAAAATGTCGTAGATTAATTGATAAAGGAGTCTTTTTTTCTTTATATGATTCAGTTGGTAAGTATATACAAATCAAGGCATGAAATCATTTACTGGATAAGAGTGGGCAAAATACCACATAATTTCATTAACCTTTAAGCAATGAAATTATAAATCCATATGCAAATGTTTAAGGTTATCATTGCCTATCACCCCCTTTTGATTCCTACAGACCGTTAATTCTTCTCTGTCCTGCTGGGTCTTATTAAAACTTCTGACTGATGTACTTTTATTAAAAGGTTTAGAATTTACCAATTTAAAACACTTGCTTTACACTATCACCTCTAATTTAACTAGGCCTATTAAACACTGTATTTTGCAAAGGGAAAAAGTCAATTGCTGTTTCTTTAAAAAATAATAAATTGAAATGAATTTTAAACTCTGCTTAGAGGTGAGCAACTGCTATATACTACTAGGCCTTTTGATAGCTGATTTGTTCCTTTAGTATGCAAATTTTAGGTTTACAGAGATCTAGTGCTTTTATTTAGGAAATATGCCCAGAGGCTAGATTGGTAGGCTTTGGGGAGATAACTAGTTTGGTGTGAAATAAATAGTTGTTAAAAGATCACATGAATTGGGTCCCAGAAGATGAAGAGTAGACTGAGACAGATTGAGGAAAACTGACTGTACTTCATTTCATTTGGCTATACATGTCACTGAATTAAAAATGAAGACAATGAATGATGGCAACACAAAGCAAATTAATGAAAATAAGCCATTGTTTTTGTAGGTTTTCTGAAAAGTTCTGTCTTCTGAGCAATTTAAAGAAACGGGCTGAGTACACCCCTAACCAAAGAAGCTTGGTCCACATCATTCTGGGAGGCCAGCCTTTTAGGAGATTTTAGCTTTAGCAGGGAGGAAGGAATGGGTCAACTCCCCTCCCACCCCCCGCCTATCAAGTCAGCAGCATCACTTCTGGTTAGTGAGATGACAGATGTCATAGAAAACCTCACATTTAAAACTAGAGGGCTCAGGGTTGCTAGCTTAGGTTGGCAGTTGTAGATATTCTGGCTTGCAAGTGTTAAACAAATTATAATAATAAACTTTTAGCTTTGCGAAGTTAGTTTTAAGAAGTTGTACACTTGTTTTGTAGCACTGCTGTTTTGGAATCTCTGACTTCCAAACATTTATTTTTCCTTAAATAACTGAAAAATAGTGAAATACATTTCTATATCGATAGCTTATAGAATCCACTGTGTGTGTGTGTGGTTTTTTTTTTTTTTTTTTTTTTTTTTTTTTTTTTTTTACAGTGCTTATATCTGTCTTTTTGTTTGTCTAAGCAGTTAGGCCATCAAGAAATAGAATATTTGAATAGCGTTAGCATTTGAAATGGTCTCTGTATGCCTATTTGTTGTATGTCTCTGGTAGTAGAGGTGCAGAGGACATGGGTGATGATGATGTATGAAGGTGGGATGCTAGATTATTTCATTGAGGCTGGAGGTTTGTAATCTTGTTATCATTAAAGCTTCAAAGAGGTGTGGTATGTAGGAGTGCCAGTGCCACAGTCTAGTAGGGTGAGAAGTGAGAATAGCTAATTGGTTCTTGCCAGCCTTAGCAATAGTGGTTTTGGTAGAGTGATAGCTAAGGAAGCCAAGTTATGGTAATTCAAGTATTGAATGGAAGTTGAAGTGAAAACAACGAGCTTATGTTATTATTTTATGAAGTTTCACAGGGATAGTTGGTAGGGTTGGAAGAACTGTTATTGATGAAGGAGAAGAAACCAGTGGAGAAGAAAAGGAGAAGACGGGTAGTGCAAGTTCCTAGAAACAGCATAAATGAATAGGACTCATAGTATAGGTAGAGGGTTTAGTAATGGAAAAGAGTGTCAACCATGAGATAGGAATGAAAGTGTTATGAGACAGGAGAATTTGCATATGTAGAGTGGGTTCTTAGTTACAGACAATAGCTAGTTTGAGTTGCATACAGAGATGCATCACATGCTACTTAATTTGCGGAAGTGCCAAGGAACCAAAGTTGACTGAATAGCAAGGAACAGCACAAGCCATGAGAAACATCCCATGATACTATTCTAGTAGAAACTCCACTGCCATTTGCTACTTAGAGCCTATGAGACTAGGGATCATTTAGTAGCATATCTACATACATGGTTGTTTCAGAAGAACAAAATGCCTTCACTACAAAATTTGATCTCATTTGTAGTTGGCTACTTCCTTGATTTGCTCATTTCTGCTTTCTAAATCTTGAATGGATTTGGTTGAACCTGGGTTCAACCAAAGGCATGATGCAAGAGCATCTGGGAAATGTTTTCAGCTTGAACTTTGTGAATACAGGAAGTTAGAGTGCATGCTAGAAAGGGATTGGAGTGCAGACTGGGTAGTTCTGGCTCTTGGTCTTTCATGAGCTGCAATCAAGATGTCAGCCAGAGTGACATTCATTTGAAAGTTTGACTAGCCTGGAGGATCTGCTTAGAAAATGGCTCTCTCACGTGGCTGTTAATGTTGATTCTGGCTGTTTGGCAAGATGCCTTGTGTACCTTTCCCTAGGATGGCTTGAGTGTCCTCACAACATGGCAGCTGGCAGCTGGCTTCCCCCAGGAAGATCCAAGAGAGTAAGGAAGAAGCTCTAATATCTTTTAGGACAGACACTGTCACTTCCTCTGCATTCTGTTGCTCACTCAGACCAACCCCGATATGAGCAAAGGGAGTACACAAAGGCATGCATTCCTTGAGGTGAGGATTATTGGGGGCTGTCTTGGAGGCTGGCTACCTTGTACCCTCTTTTCCCCTTTCTTTGGTAGCACAAGTTGATCAGATTTATCTGTAGAAGCAAAAAATGAAATTGTTTTAATAGAATGAAACTTGACAAGAATTTGGATAGAATGTGGTTCTTTATATTAAGAGTACACAGTGTACAGTATTGTCAGCCGGATTTTAAGGAGATAACAAAATGCTGTTCATTTACTTGTTCTCAGGTTTATATTCTACAAGCAGAGCTTGTATCATAACATTATCATTCAGTCGAGGCATATGTATTTTGAAGTGTAGAGATAATGAGGTAGTGATACTGTCTTCTAGAATAGCTCTTCTGTCTTCATCTCTGAAATTCACTGGTCTGGCTAGCTGTCTCTAACATCATTTCCTCGTCTCAACTCTTTAAGACCCTGACAGACTCTGAGATTGTAGTGAAGATTTCTGTGACATGCTGGGTGGGTATAGACTGCTCTCTCGTGCCTTGGTCACATCTTCGTGTTTATTTTTTCATATCATGTATCACAAATTGAAATGATGTTGCTGATATACTTGTTTGTCACCCTGCATCCTTCTCCCACTCCCCAAAGTAAAGCTCCAGCAGAGTAGGGCTTTGTTGACTTATTCACTGCTGAGTCCTCGGCACTGAGTGCAATGCATGGTAGATGCCCAGAAGGTGATTGTCTAAATACATTATTTTTTGAGAGTATACAATACATGATTATTATTTGAAACAGGATACCACAAAAGGTAATTTTCTAATGCACAAGGTAAGTAAAGGTAGAGGTCCATTTTCTATAAACCAAATGAAAAGAAAGAATGAATATGTTTGGCTAATTCTGTAATTTTTTATGTAAACTGTTTTGGAGACACATTTCCTATTGATTTGATCACACCTTGTTTTTCTTGTCGTAAATGGTCCTTTTTGGATGAGTTACAGTGTGAGTTCTGGCCCTGTCAGAATTGATATTCCTAGGAATCCTGACTTTAATATACACAGAACAGGAAAAGTCATGATAGGCACCCTTGGGTATATATGGTAATGTGTTAGTTCTCTTCAAGACTGCATGGCTTACAGGGATCACAGGGCTGTGTGAGTTAAGCAACAGTTTAAACCTGATGTATTGCTCTCCCAGAAAGTAGTATTCTTAAGGTATTTACCCCAGATCTGCAAGTGTCTGTGTTTCCCGGGGGGGGGGGGGATCCCCCAAACCTGGAATGCTCATCCATATGCATTCCAACCTGCCTCTGAGATGTTAGGCAAGCCTCAGCAGAGGTTCTTGACAGTTTTTTGGACTATGGACCTTTTGGCAAATCTGACAAACTATTGACCTTCTCCCAGAGATACTTATTTACATAAACCCACCAATTTTACATATATCATTCAGTAGAGCATAGATTCCTGAAGGCCATCCAATGACCAAGGCTAAAGACCTAATCTGAATAATTATTATTATTATTAAGTTACAAATGATTTGGAAAATCTCTGCAGAGACTGAAAATCTCTTATTAATTAAGAATAACCTTACAATCACTCAGAACATTTCTGTTCTTGCACATTCTTCTCCCATCTTGGAATATCCAAGAGCCAGACTAGATCATCCAAATTAGCTCTTGACCAGCTCAAGATTGAGAATTCAGGCTGGGTTTATTTTGAAGGTACTAACTATGTCTTTTGTGATCTTACAGGTATCTCTGCATTAGCCAGATTGGACATATGTAAAGGGACATCAGTATATCTGGATAATCAGGTAAGCAGATGGGACTTCATTTTTATATCTCCATCAATTCAGTCCTCTGGCAGTATGTGGGCATTTTCTGTTATGTCTCGTTTACTGCAGTGTGGGTCAGTAAGATGATTGATATTTCTAAAGAGAAGGAAGCAGCCTTTTTTAAGTTTCACCAGGTTATTTCCCTGCTGCTTAAAGTCAGATTTCTTTATTTTTATCTCATTATTATTTCATGTATTTATACATCGATAGTAGACAATAATTCTCTACTTTTCTTTTTATGTATATTCTTTGGAGAGTTGTGGACAGCTCTCATATTGTTCCTTGGTTGTCAGCCAAGTTATAGACATTTAACTCCTTTAATCTTTCTTTGTAATTGAGTTAGCTTGGCTGCTTTTTCCAGATTTTCCCCTTGTTTTATGGTACCATTAATAAACAGAAAAACAGTCTATTGACTGGCTTTTTCTACACCTTTCGTTCTTTTTGTTTTCTGTTTTTGCCTCATATTCCTTGTTGAACTAAGGCCAGCCAGACATCATTCTCTGGACCACTTTGGCACTACATGAATGCCTTGCCTGCAACTATCAGTGTCCCATGCAGTAATGCCATCATCAGTATGTCCTAGAGAAAAAAGAAATGTAAAAGGCGAGCAGTGAGGAGCAAAATAATGCATTCTTTAATTACATGGCAGACTTACCCTTACCACCCAAAGTAAATCATTGTACCTGAGCCCTTTAACACAGCTTTTGTCATCCTGAAGCGCTGTGCATGGGCACTAATTTGAATAATAAGAGAAGCGTGTATATAGTTTGAAGTTTGCCCACTGTTCTCACTTGATTCCTTCCCCATGTTCTCACTCCCCCACTGCCTTTCTCAACACGAATCGTGACTTGTTATCAGATTCTGTGGCCATGAACAAAACTGGGCAGGGGATCATTTTGCCGGAAATTAGATAGGCTCAGGTGGTAAATGCTCCATGTCTCCATGTATAACATCTGAGGCAAGTGCTTTAGTTCTTGCTATTTCTGTAACAGCTATTGGTCTTCTTTTAACAGCTGATTCAATGGCAATGTGCAGGAGGAAAGGACTAGTAGATGTTTGGTGCTATTTATCAACACTGTATTAGTAGCACAACTTTTTTCCCCTCTGATTGGCAGGGAGAAGCATACTGCTTCTAGATGATGCTGAGCTTAGTGTAAAATATGCCAGCATGGGATCTGAGCTTGTCACAGTTCATTCTTTCTTTTCATTTGGTTTGTAGAAAATGGACCTCTACCTTTACTTATCTTGTGCATTAGAAAGATAAAAGGTCATACATCTAGGAGCTAATGGCTTATTGGTGTCTTTTAGTCACCAGATTCAGATAATATATTTAGTTGAAGGTTACAGCAGCACATACTCGGCTTTCTCATTTGTGTTAGCTTCACTTGTAGTACAGAATTGAATAGGATTGAAGAGACGGTTTTCCTGTTTGTGTCTGTGGCAACTTTTTTGATGATTTGTGGTTTAATTCTTTAAACATTTTTGATCACTTATCACTTCTTTCTCTGTGAAGGCTTAAAGTATTCAGATTCTAATGTTATAATCTTTTCATCACATTATTTAATTTTAGAGAATTCAAGGTCAGAATAGCAGCTGACATAGTTGTCTCTGAATAGTGACCTAAAAATTATAATACTACTTTTTTTTTGGCCTGGATTTTATGGTGTGCCTTCGTGGCATCAGATTTTAAATAAGATTATGTGTTTGTGAATCATGTATTTCTTGGTCTCTGGCCTCTTAAACAGGTAACTATATGACTTGGACTCTTTTTAAGTCTGCTTTTAAAAAATGTTAATCTCTCACATGGCTTTTAAACTGTTGACAGTATTGTACTTGACATTAATTTTGTTAGGCAGTTAATGCATTCTTCGGCATAACTTTGTTTCTTGGGTCTTTTCAAGACCTGTCAAAGAAAACAAAATGCTAACCTGACTTTAAAGGGGCAAGAAAATCCCCCCCAAACTATATTATTCTTTGTTCTCTATGTGCATCAAAGTGACAATCCCACACTGTCTCAATTGAGGGAGTCTAGCACAAAAATGAAAAACAGCCTGGCACTGTTATAGGCTTGCAGCCAAAATGTTTTGTGTAGCTTGGTTCTGGCAGTGGTTTTTGTAAGGCAGAGGGTCTACCCTCCCAGCATCACCGAAGGCAGGCAGGCAGCCTTAGTGTTTCCCACTTACACTGTTTTTTCCCCTTTTCTTCCTCTTTCTTCACACAGACCGCCATTGTGAAAAGAAATATTTTTTTTCTGAAATAGAAATATCATTCCCCTTACAACTTCCACATTTAGTAAATGGCTTTGTTCCTTATAGAAGTTGGTGCTAAATTTGCCTTTTCCACTCTCTTAGGTATTTTCTTTACAGTTGCATTTTTGCTACTATTGCTAACTTTGGTCATGTTGACACAGTATTTTTGATTGGTTGGAATCTTGTCTGCTTCAGAATTTATTATTTGAATGGAAACTTTTGAGTATTATTTGCCTGTATTATATGGATTTTTATGCCAAGATATCTCTTGTTGAGACCAAAATGTCTGCCATTGTTTTCTATTTTTGTCTAAAATTCAATGTCAGTTCATATCTTTTACAAGTTGAATACTTTTAGAATGTCTGATAAGTCTTGGTAGATAAGCAAGTGAACTTCCATTAAAATAAAGGGATGTGCATTTAAAATATTTTTCCTTTGAAATAAAAAATGCAACGTAAAACACAGAAGTGTTTTTAAGTTTACCAATTCTCACAAAATTATAGTTAGTGCCCTACCATTAGGAGTGTGAAAATGTGGCATAATGAGTTTTAAATAGTGATGATTTGAGCAGGAGACTAGATTTTCACTATGAGCAAGCATTCTATGAAATTTCGTAGAATGTTCCTCACAATGTAAATATGTTTTCTGTTGTATTAAGCAAAACAAATGATTTACTTTCTAGTGATCTATTTTAAAAATTAGATTTTTTAAAGTGATCTATTTTAAAAATTAGTTTTGCAATCAAGATAAGAATGGTTAATAGGCAGAATATGTTTTTATAGGAGGAGATTGATATTATTTTGACTGATCTTTATTTTAAAAATTGTCAATGATTTTTGGCAATAAGAAAATTACTTTGAGAAGAAAAACTCATGTATTTTTGTAACAGTGTAACAAATGTGACTGAAAAGGAAGCAAACAGTGGCTCGTGTTTGAATTATTAATATGAAACGTTTTTATATGCCGTATATACCAGGAAATATATCTATTATGGGTTCTGTAAGATAAAATTGTGCAATCTAACAGTTGTTTCTTTTCTGGGGATTTATTTTTAATTTAGAAAACGCTTTAAAATTATTAAAAGGAGTTATAAAACAGAGGTGTATCAGCAGTATGCATTAAATAAACTCACCTGTTGTTTTCTCTCATTCCGAACAGGCTCAGCGACATGTTGGTTCACTACTTTAGCAAAACAAACAAATACTCCAGTTGCTTTGTATGCATAATGCACATGTAATAAATGCTACAATTTTTCATTGCTCCCAATGCTATCTTTTTAAACTTGCAAAGTGGCTTTTTTTATGCAGAGCTACTAAAATGAATCTGGGTGGGATGCTTGTTAAGTTATATGAATTAAATCTTTAGTTCAGCATTTTAAACTTCTGAATTCTGAGAGTTTTGCGAAGGAATGCCAGTGAAACTTTTTTCACTTGATCCAGTTAAGTTCATGACTGTCTTGAATCCCCTGTGGCAAGGTCTGATAATGTTAACATTAGCGAGTAAAGATAACATACACACACAAGCCTCTTTCATTCTGTGTATACTGAATAATGTTTATTGCATATTAAGCACTATTCAGTGACTTTAAATACACTTTATGCAGTGGTTTAATTTTTATTTGCAGTGAAGCTCTTTATTTTTTCTGTGGTAAGAATATATCTTTCAGTGATTTAGGACAATGTGAATTGTTCTATTTATTTATTTATTCTAACTACACACAGAGGCATAGGAGAAATATTTAAGAGCCATAATGTTTAAGCAGTTTTTTGGTAAATACGGTTGAGTTTTTCATTTTTGTAGAATAGAATTTATAGACAATAAATTGTATAGTTTTAATTCAGAACACATAGCAAAGCTATTATATCTTTTTAGTTTGACATTATATATTTTATAAGGAACATAATATAGTAACAATCATTATATTTGTAAAAACATGGAGAAACACATTTATTAAGAGATAACAGCAAAATTGAATAAATACTGTTGATTATTTTAACTAGGATTTTACCATATTAAGTACTAAGTTTATAATTATAACTAGTACTTCATTTCATTTGAATGTCAATATAGATTTCAAACATGACTGTCGGGAAGATGGTTTGAATGTCTTGTTTGATATCGAATATTGGTAATGTAATAACAAATAGCGATTTTTAAGTTTGTGTGATCTAAATATGAGTAATCTTCCCTTAAGCATACGGTACATACTTTAGTGTCAAAATTCAATAGATAGTATTGCATGAAAGGGTACATGTTAATTTCCTCTTAATTTTTGATACGTTTTAATTTCTCCCACCCTCTGACGTATTATTCTGTAGAATACTTTTACAAGTATTTCATGTGTTTTCTATGGCATCTCACACTGCTCACTTTTTATCTATAGTACCATATGAGTTCCTCCTTTTTAGGTTTACACTGCATATTTTAAGCTGCTGATAGTGTAAGTCGATTGCAAGGTAAAGTGACATTTAGCTTTTTGAGTTAGCTTCATTTTTAGCATGAGAACAGGTTTTTTTTTTTTTCCCCTGTCCTAAATCTTCTCATATTTCCCATTAAAACAATCTTACTAACATTGAACAAAGAAATTTAGGGATTTGGCTAAAGCAGCACTTGAAATGCATCAAAAAGTGGCTACTACAATACAATGTTATTAATGAATGATCTACATTGGTTCCAGCTGTGTCCATGTGATTAGGCCTTCACCAGGCAACAATGGGTATTTCCCTATTG